CCTGGACCCGGTGCAGCCGTGGGGGGGTGGGTGTGGGGGTGGTGGTTGTGGGGGTGCTGGTTGTGCGTGCCGTCCCCTCCTCCTCCTCCTCCTCCTCCTTCGTCTCCCGCTGCTGCAGCTATCGCTGAGGGGGGTGGATGTGTGGGAGTCTGGGGTTTAGGGTTTAAGGGGGTGCTGTGGGTGTAGGGCTAGGGTTTGAGCAGGGGGTGTGTGAGAGGGGCGTTGGGCAGCTGGGGGAGGTTGAGAGTCTTGTCGTCAGCTGCAGCAGTATTCTGGAGGCTACAATCTCCGGTAGTCGCCAGTCGCCTGTGGGTCAGTTGCTCCTGCCGCTCGTCTATAGCCGCGGAGCCAGTTACTCTTGTAGTCGAGGCCTTTGCTTCGGCAGCCACCGAGCCAGCAGCTTGTCTGTGTATCTGCAGCGTCAGCAGTCGCCTCCCATCTTCTCTCCCCCACAGTCTCTCCTCCTCCTCACTTGCCCTCTGTGATTAGCTCTAGCCTTACTTACATATTGTGAACTCTAGCTCTATGCCTGCATGCTGTACTGATTATACCCCACTTTGACTATGGGGGTGTGTCAGATTATAATGCATGTCTAGTCTGTAGTGGGGTACTCAAAAGTGAGTATAACCCTTTTAGGGCTTACTACTTGTATCCCCCTCCTTTCTAGTGAACACATCCTCCTTCTAAAATCTCTCGACATTTTCCTTACACCCTAAAACCTAAGCTCCTAAGCTACTATAACAATGGCTCCGAAGCCTAAGTCACTCTAGGAACTTCAACATCTCTTCCCCCTGTCTTCGAGAATTTCAAACTGTCGTAAACTTGCTACCTAAACAAGTACACTACTCCTAAATCAACGATTAACCACTTGGCGAGAGCCATAATTTCAATGCCGTCAACGGTGCAAGTTGACGCGAAGCAGAGAGAGAGAGAGAGAGAGAGAGAGAGAGAGAGAGAGAGAGAGAGAGAGAGAGAGAGAGAGAGAGAGAGAGAGAGTGTATGTGCGATTGCATGGCCCAAGAAGCATGATTCATTGTCCACAAAGAGACAACTAGTCTCTGCCCGGTTGAGGAGCAAATGGCCGGGCAGAGAGCAGTTGTCCTTGAGCACTGAGAATGGAGCAATGAGAATGGAGTAATGAGAATGGAGCTACACAGTTGGCATTGCGAGCAATGAGCACCGTAGTGAGGGTTGCAATAAGATATTGCCACATGTTCGTCTGCGGTTGGCCTAAATAGCAAGAAGGGTTGAGTTTTTTCCCTTCATGTTGTCTTGAATCGACTCAAATATCTGCTGCATGTGGTACGTGAAACCCAACATGTAGTCATGTTCAAGACCCTTGAATGCTGCAACAAAACCAGCAGGCATGACGAGCTGGACAGTTTGTAGGCCATCACCTCCATCCCATCATCCCCCTTGGTTGTCAAAGTACTATCTTACTTGTAGGCTATAGTGGGGCTCTCCTTATGGGGTACAACACTTCTAGAGTTAGTACTTGTAACCCAACTCTTGTTAATCCAATCATTCGTGCACAGATATTCTGACATGGTAAACAAAGGAGGAAACCTGTTAAGTTTTTAGGGCCAACCAATTGTTTTGCTAAGTTCCTGCCCGAAGAGCCCTTGCGCTCTCCGGCCCTCTCGCACAGTGTCATGCTGCCCTACAGCTACTTGCACTGCTTGCCCTAGCGCGCTGTCCTATTGTCACGCGCGCCCCTGCTGCCCGAGAGCAGCCCATGCCCAGCGCGCCCCTGCTGCCCGCGTGCAGCCCCTGCCCCACGCGCCCCTGCTGCTTGCGAGCAGCCCCTGCCCCGCGCGCCACTGCCGTCTGCGAGTAGCCCCTGCCCCGCGCGCCACTGCTGCCTGCAAGCAGCCCCTGCCTAGCGCACCACTGCTGCCTGCGAGCAGCCCCTGCCCAGCGCGCCACTGCTGCTGGCGAGCAGCCCCTGCCTCGCGCGCCACTACTGCCTGTGAGCAGTCCCTGCCCCGAGCGCCCCTTCTGCCCGCGAGCAGCTCCTGTCCCAGCGCGCCCCCTTTGCAGGGTCGCGTCTGCAGGGTTCGCGCCCTACTGCCTCCTACGCGTCACGCCCTGCTGCAGCCCGCGCGTTGCACCCTGCTGCTCCGCGCGTCGCGCTCTGCTACAGCCCGCACATCGCGTCCTGCTGCAGCCCACGCGACATACTCGGCTGCTCCGCGCATCGCACCCTACTGCAGCCCACGCGTCGCGCTCGGCTGCTCCGCACGTCGCACCCTACTGCAGCCCGCACGTTGCGCTCTGCTGCCGCGCGCGTCGTGCCCTGCTGCAGCCCGCGCGTCGCGCCCTGCTGCCCCTCGCGTCGCACCCTGCTGCAGCCCGCTTGTCGCGCCTTGCTGCCCTGCACAGCGCACGCCCTGCTGCCCGCGCCGCCCAGGCCGAGCCGGGCCGCCCAGCCCAAGCCGCCCTGCCCAACTCGAGCCGCCCTGCTGCTGGTGCTAGTGTTGGTGCTGGTGGAGATGCTGCTGGGAGTGCTAGAGGTGCCGCCACCCAGCTCCACCGAGCCGCTCTGCTGCTACTAGTGCTGCTACTGCTGGTGGAGGTGCTGCTCGCAGTGCTGGAGTTGCTGCTGGTGCTGGAGGTGCTGGAGGTGCGACTGGGAGTGCTGGAGGTGCTGCTAGTGCAGGAGGTGCTGGACCTATTACTGACCGTCACTGCCTGTCATGGCCACTATCACGGCAGTTGCAGCGGCTAGGGGTGGACAGCGATGGTCACTGCCTCTACTGGACGACCCCACCCCTCATCAGCTTCGCGAGTGGGTTCTTTAGCGAGCCCGTTCAGGTTGTGGAGGCTTTGGTTTTCTGCGAACTACACGGAGGCAGCAGCAGAGCTAGCAGGAGACCTTCTCTCCGCAGGTGCTTAGTGAGTTGGTTCCTCAGTGATGTGTCACTGGTTCTGTCGAGGCTGCTGCACTAGGTGCTAGTTAGTGTGCTGCCGCACTAGGTGCTAGTGAGTCAGCTGCAGCTCTAGGTGCTAGTGAGTCTGCTGCAGCTTTAGGTGGTAGTGCGTCTCCCGCCACATGTCCTGCCTCAGTTGAGGCCTTGCACACTTTCACACTTGACTCAGGCGCGTCAAGTTGCTTTTTTCGTGACTGCACCACACTCACACCACTTGCTGCACCGGTACTAGTCTCACTATCTGACCCCACTAGGGCCTAGTAGTCGCACGAACCTCCACTGTCCTCCCGTGTCCAGCAGTCCCCTCCGGTTCTCTGTCAGGTCTCCACCTCCCCACGTTCTCGACGAACTTGGTGAGCAACGCTTCCATTTAAGATGTCTGGGTTGATACCTTTATTCCTGGAGGGCAGCGTGTGGCGATCTGTACGTGCTCCCGGACTGGCCGTCACCTTGCTACGTTCACTCGACGGCCTGGGTCTAGTCTGTACACACTGACCACTGCGTCTGCACAGGTGGCAGAGGCCGTTCAGGTGGCTGCGTCGAGTCAGGTGTCTGCGTCTGGTCAGCTTGCAGCGTCTTGCTCGTGTCGGGTACTCTCCCACCACACTCTCCTCTGGCACCACCGCCTCGGTCACCCCTCACTGCCGCGTCTCCGCAGCATGCACTCCTGTCTCCTTGTCTCTGGGCTTCTCAGGTCCCTGCCCTCCCTCCCGTGCTCGCCTGCACCGCCCTGCATTCCCTGCGTCGAGGGGCGGCAGCGCGCCGCTCCTCACTCCTCCGAATTTCCTCCGACCACTGCTCCTCTGCAGACTCTCCACATGGACGTGTGGGGCCCGGCACCCCTCGGTGGAATGGACCAGGAGCGCTACTTCATGCTGGTTGTTGACGACTAAACACGCTACACCACTGTCTTCCCCTTGCGGGGCAAGGCAGACGTCAGCGGTGTTTTGATCTTTGGATCCGTGCTACTCGTTGCCAGCTGCGCGAGCGGTTTCGTCGGGACTTGCCAGTCCTAGGTCTGCACTCTGACAAGGCCGGTGAGTTCTATTCTGGCCTCCTTGAGGAGTTCTATCAAGACGGAGGCATCCACCAGTCGTTCACGCTTCCGGCCTCTCCTCAGCAAAATGGGATTGCTGAGTGTCGCATTGGCTTGATCATGGAGGTTGCTCGTACCTCCATGATCCATGTGGCTGCTCCCTATTTTCTGTGGCCGTTTGCAGTCCGATACGCAGCGCATTAGTCCAACCTCTGGCCCTGTGTCTCTTTGGCAGAGACCTCGCCCACACTCCGTTGGATGGGATAGGTTAGCGATGCGTCAGCGTTTCGGGTCTGGGGCGCGCTCTCCCTTGTTCGCGGTACCACCGCAAGCAAGCTCTCCCCTCGTGCCTTCCTTGGCTTCCCTACCGACGCCCCGCCGTGGCAGTTCTACCACTTGCGCGCGCGTAGAGTCTTTGCCTCCCAGGATTTCACCTTTGACCAGTCTGTCTGTTACTACAGGCTACACCCGCACGCGTCCCACCCGGTCCCCCTCGCGCCTCTCTTCCTAGTACCAGTCCCCCCCCCGGTAGACCCACTCCCCCCGCAGGGTCCTGCTCCCTCTGGTGTGTCTCAAGTACACCCACCCCCCTTGGATGAGCCTTTAGAGATCTCTTATGACTCCTCTGGCCTAGCTGAGGGGGGTGACCCTGCCGCGGACGACACGGCGGCCACTCGCCGCTCTCCACGCTTGGAGACCCCCCCGGGTTTTCCACCTTGGCCATCTTCGCCGCCTCTGCAGCCTGCTGTTGTAGACTGTGGAGCTGAGACTACTGGTGCTGAGCCTGGGGGTGCTGAGACAGAGGGTGAGGGTTCTAGGGGTGCTGCGCCTGGGGGTGCTGCAACTGGGGGTGCTGGTTTCGAGGGGTGCTGCGACTAGGGGTGCTGACTTTAGGGGTGCTGAAAGCTCTAGTGGTGGTGGAGCTGTGGGTGACTTAGCTGGAGGTCCTGGAGTTGGACAGCCACCGCAGCCTGATATACTTGAGACGCTCTCGCCGCAGGCGATTCGTGCGTGGATCGTTCGGTGAGGCAGTCATGGTGGTGGGGGGAACGGTCCTACCGGTGTTGGAGCTGCTAGTCCTAGAGGTGCTGGAGGTACTGGAGGTACTGCTGGAGGTACTAGAGGTGCCGGAAGTGCCGGAGCTACTAGTCTTGGAGGTGCTGGACCTACTAGACCTGTTGCTGGAGGTGCTAGAGCTGCTGGCATTGGCGGTGCTGGAGCTGCTGGTCATGGAGGCGCTCATACTGGAGGTGATGGAGCTGCCAGAGGTGGTGGTGCTACTGGTGCTGGAGGTACTGGGGGTACTGGAGCTGCTGGCACTGGAGGTGCTGGTGCTACTGGTGCTGGAGCTGCGGGAGTTGCTGGTCCTGGAGGTGCTCGTACTAGAGAAACTGGAGCTGCCGGAGCTGGTGGTGCTGCTCGTGCTGGAGGTGCTACTGGAGCTGCTGGCACTGGAGCTGCTGGCACTGGAGGTGCTGGAGGTACTGCTGGTGCGGGAGGTGCTGGAGCTGGAGGTACTAGAGGTATTGGAGGTGCTGGAGCTGCTGGTCATGGAGGTGCTCGTATTAGACGTGCTGGAGCTGCCGGAGCGGGTGGTGCTGCTGGTGCTGGAGGTGTTGGAGGTGCTATTGGAGCTGCTGGTGCTGGAGGTGCTGGTGCTGCTGGTGGTGTAGGCGCTGGAGCTGCTGGTAGTGCCCTGCGCCGACTGTTTTTCTACCCGCAGCCGCAGTCGTCTCTGCCGCCCTGGCTCGGTCCTTCGCCAGGTTCTTAGTCTCCTGTCTTCCACTGGCCTCACTCCACCTCTCCTGTGTTCATCGACAGACCAGTCTCAACCATAGCTATTGCCTGACTTCCTGCTGCCTGATCCTGCTCCTCACACTGAGGTGACTGAGTCCCTGACTGAGCGTCGTGAGCCTGAGACTCGTTCTTTCACACTTGTTCGTGCTCGTCGCGTCGGCCGTTCTCGTCCTCCTGTTGTCCCAGGCACTCACGGTATGGCACTTCGTCCTTCCTCTGTTTCAACATGTGTTGTTCTGCCTGAGCCTCCCGCATCCTCTCTTCCGCACGCTCCCGACCCTGAGTCCGACCTTGCTCGTGCTGCCAGTCCTACTGTCACTCGTCTCCTCGCTACTGTCGTCACTAACCCTGACTTTGAGTCTACTGCTGCGTTTTCCCTAGTCACTAAGCTAGTCGACTTTCAGTTAGGAGTTGTCTCGACTACGTCGCAAGTCTTGTTACTGAGTTTGAGTCTGTCTGTCCTCCGTCCGTCGGGGGTGACCCTGCCCTTAGCAATGACATCCTTGAGGATAGGCAGTTTGAGCTTGACTATCTTGCGGCCGCTTTACCTCGTTTCGCATCCATGCTGCTTTGCCCTGAGGGAGACCCGGATGCACTTGACATCCCTATCCCGCGCTCTTACGCTGAGGCGATCACGGGCAAGTACTCCTCTCAGTGGCAGACAGCCATGAAGGCAGAAATGGCTTCCAGGAAGTCCACACACACCTATGCCGATGATGTTCCTCCTCCTAGGGCAAACATAGTCGATCGCATGTGGATTTTCAGAGTGAAGGGGCCGCCGGGTTCTCCGCCTGCATTCAAGGCGCGTTACATTGCTCGAGGCTTCAGTCAGCGACAGGGGGTCGACTTCTTCTAGAACTTCTCCCCCACCCCAAAGATGAATTTTCTTCTGGTGCTGCTGCACGTTGCAGCACAGTGTAACTACGACCTGCACTCCCTCGACTTCTCCACAGCTTTCTTGTAGGGCAGCCTTCACGAGGAGATCTGGCCGCGCCGCCCACCAGGCTTCACTGGGTCGTTTCTTGCGGGTACCCATTGGAGCCTCCGGCGGCCAGTCTACGGTCTCCGCCAGGCGCCCTGACAGTGGCACGACACACTGAGGACTACACTTGTAGCTCTTTGGTTTGCTCCTTCCTCTGCTGACCCGTCGTTGTTTCTCAGCACCGACACTACCCTGCCACCATTCTACGTTCTCGTGTGCGTCGACGACCTGTTTTTCGCTACTGCTGACACCGAGGCGCTGGCCCTAGTGAAGGTGGAGCTGCAGGAGAGAGACATTTGCACTGACCTGGTTGAGCCGCGTAGCTGTCTTGGCTTGCAAATCACCTGGGACAGAGTACGGCGCACCATCACCGTGACTCAGTTACACATGGTGCACCAGGTCCTTTGGCGCTTCGGCTTCCAGTACTTCTCGCCACAGCCCAATCCTCTGCCTACTGCCCACTTGCTCTCAAGTCCACCTTCGGACGAGTGTGTAGAGCTGAGTGGTCTGTACCCAGAGCTTGTGGATTGCCTCATGTACCTGATGACGTGCACACGACCTGACCTTGCGTACCCTCTCAGCCTCCTGGCTCATTACGTGGCTCCCTGTAGACACCGAAAGGTGCGCTTTGATGCTGCGAAGAGGGTACTGCGTTGCTTGTGCAGTACATCGGGCATGGGGCTCGTGCTTGGAGGACGGGGTCCAGTGGTACTCACAGGACACTCTGACGCTTCTTGTGTCAAACATTTATGCTATAGTCTTTCTAGGCTGTAGTGGGGTGGACAGTATGGGGTACAGTTTTCTAGGGTTATATATTTGTACCCAACTCATTTCCTAGTCCATCATTCCTCATTCTCTTCACATGGTATAGAGCAGGTTCCCTAGTGGGAACGTTTCCTAGGGCCCACCACGAAATCGATTTTTTTTTTTACCTGCCTGAAGCGCGCTTCGCTTCTGCCCTAGTCGCGCCCCGTGTGCCTGCCCTTGCGTCGCGTCCCTTTCCCTTAGCGGCCCATCGCGCCCTCTTAAGGCCCCGTCGCGGCCCCTCTCACGGCCCTTCGCGGCCCCTTCGCGGCTCCCTCGCGGCCCCTCCGCGGCCCTTCGCGGCCCCTCTTACGGCCCTTCACGGCCCCTCGCGGCCCCTCACGGCCCCTTCGCCGCTGCTCGTGGCCCCCCTTGCGGCCCCTTCGCGGCCCCTCGCGGCCCCTTCTCGGCCCCGTCGCCGCCCTTCGCGGCCCCTCGCGGCCCTTCTCGGCCCCTTCGCCACCCTTAGCGGCCCCTTTGCGGCTCCTTCACGGCCCCTCCACGGCTCCTTCGCGGCTCGTCGCGGCCCCTTCACGGCCCCTCCCCGGCTCTTCACGGCCTGCCGCCCCGCCGTCGCCGCCCCAACAGCAGCTGCCGTCTCGCAGTGACAGCCGCCACTGTCGCTGCCGGGGCCGCGGCGGCCGCCGCCGCCGCCGCCGCCGCTGCCGTGACAGCCGCAGCCGCCGCAGCTGGGGCCGCAGCCACCGATGCTGCTGAGAGCAGCAGCCGCTGCCACCGCCGCCGCCGAGTGCAGCAGCCGCCGCCGCCACTGCCGTGACATCCACCGTCGCCGCTGCCAGGGCTGCAGCCACCGCCGCCGCCGACAGCAGCAACCGCCGCCGCCGCCGCTGCCGTGACAGCCTCCGCCACCGTCCCGGCCCTGCCCTGCAGCTGAGGCGCGGCTCTCCTCTGCAGCCCTGACGCGGCCCTGTCCCCGCCAGCGCGCCTCGGCCCTGCCCCACCATTTGCGGACCTCTACCCACCCGCCCTGGTAAGAGCACCGCCGAGTCGCGCCTCTACTACTGAGCTGCTCCTAGCCTGCCACTGCTGTTGCTAGCCTGCTGCTGCTGCTGTCATGGCTACCCGTAGTATTCTCACCTTTGATGCTGAGGGTCGGGCTGTCGACTTTGAGGTCTGGGTCGATGATCTGCAGCTTTTCCTGCAGTGCGATAGGAAAGACGGTCTCTCACTGTTCGATCTCACGTCTAGCGCCTCTGCTGCCCCTGCTGCCGATGCTGACAGCACTGTTTGCTCACAGTGGGCCACACGCGATGCTGCTGCCCGTCTTGGTGTGCGTAGTCACTTGCCCTCCACTGAGCGCGCGCAGTTTAGTCAGTACAAGAGTGCTAAGACCTTGTACGATGCTGTAGTTGCACGCTACTCTTCCCCTGCCACTACTGCCCTATGTCGCCTCATGCTGCTGTACCTGTTCCCTGACCTCGCCGCCTTTCCCATAGTCGCTCACCTCATTAGGCACCTTCGCACTAGTGACACCCGCTACCGCGCTGCGCTTCATGCTGAGTTCTGCGCCAAGAACCCCCCCCCCCCCCCCCCCCCCCTTCCCCATTTACATCACCCTCTACTACCTATTCACCTGGCTCCCTGACTCCCTTCGCTCGGTTAGGGACCACTTCCTCTCTGTTTTCCCCACCACACTCACCGTTGACCTCCTCGAGGAGCGCCTCCTGTGTGAGAGTACGACAGCTTATGCCAGCTATGCTTGCTTGCCTTACTTTATTATGCTATTTCTAGCATAGGATAATTATATGCATGCATGAATTGCTTGATTTCCTAGGCTAGGTGCTTTCCTATATTTTATTATAGTTATAGCACCGAGCTAGGTTGCGTGCACCGAATTCTGGCTTTTCGGTTGCCACCGAATTGCCTTCTACCGAATTTGGTAAGGATCTGTTTGGGACGCTTCGCGGCCCACGGAACCTTCGCGTAACAACTGGTGACGGGGCCTTGTGTCGAGCCTATATATAAGCCTCGTGCTGTACTCAGGTGATCAGTCAATTACCATTCTCTTTTCTGAGCTCGATCCTAGATCCTCACACTTGGTAATCAGAGCCTGTTTGCAAGCGAAGTTTTTCGACCGCTTAAACCTAGCTTTTAAAACCGCGGGGGCGACGACAGAAAACGCCGATTTTGGGTACGTAAACCAGTTCCACGCTATTTTGTAACGTCCTTCTCGAACCGGTTTTCGAACAGTCCTCAGGTCCAGTGGCGGAAAAGTTGGAATTTTGACCGTCGGATCGATTCGAATCTCAACGGCCCCGAGAATTTCGCCCAAAAACGTTGGAATTTGGAGCGTCGGATCGAATTTCTTCTCAACGGCCAAGATCAGACGCGAATTTCGACTTAAGGAGAACAACGCGACCTACAAAATCAGCCCTCGTCATTTCTGCAGTCAACTCGACTCGCAGTGAGAAAACCAGCGCCTAAGTTTCATAAATGTTTGTCGCAAATCTTCTTATAAATCCCCAAATGGAGGAAAACGGTGATAATTTCGTACAAAAAATTACAGAGTTACACACCGGCCTGGACCAGACACGAGCGGCACTCCAGCGAATAGAGGAGCTTCTTGCAAACCATTCGGCAGCCGCCACGGCAGCATCGAACGCAGCGGCGAATGCAGCAGCGACGTCAGCAGCAGCGCCGGCGACAGCGACACTTAACCCAGCAGCAGCAGCAGCGGCTACAGTGAATCTTGAGGCGGCACGTCCGAGGCTACCGGAGACGTTCAATCCGAATGCGAGAGACACTGACGTTCGTCGATTCATTGCGACTTTCGAAATTTACTTCGAGGCCGTTGGCTGTACGACCCCGACACACGATGTAATGCGGATTCCCTCGCAGCGACACTGTTACGAGGCCCGGCACTCGAGTGGATTTACAATTGCAACGAGGTCCAAGGCGAGGGGTCATGGACGCAGTTTCAGGAAACTTTAATTCAACGTTTCGAACCAATCAACTCCAGCTACATAGCGCGACAGCACATTCATCGGCATAAACAGTTCGGCAGTGTAACACAGTACAAGCAGCAGATGGAGAGCCTCTTCAACCGAGTTACCGACCTGACTGAAGGGGAAAAAATCCAAGCGTATACTGAGGAGCTAAAGATGGAAGTCCTGAGAAAAATGAAACGAGAATGGTGCACTAAGGAATGGAGTGTGGTACAAATATGCAACCCAAGAAGTGTGTACCCCATATGGGCTACCCCACTATAGCCTAAAGAACATTATCATTTGACACACCCCCATAGGCAAAGTGGGGGAGAACAAGGGGTCACAAGATCAGTCAAGAAGAACAAAGCAAAGCTCAGGGTGGATCACAAAGTCACCACACATTCCGAGCACAAGTTCAAGGCCACAAGGCCAGTTCACATGCAGGAGCACATATATAAATAAAAGGCTAAACAAGCAAGAGCAAGAGTACATATATGTGACAGTACAAGCAAGGTCAAGAAGTGAGAAAGTGAGGCAAGGCAGGCACGAGACCAAGCTGAGTACAAAAGCGCTGATGATCACAAGGCGCAAGTGCCTTAGTGAAGATATCAGCAATGTTGGCCTCAGAGGCCACGTACGCAAGACGCAACTGACCACGCTGCTCCAGCTCACGAGCAAGAAAGTAGCGGAGAGCAATGTGCTTCGTTCTATGCACCAGGCGCTGCTCCCGACACAAGGCCAGCATGGCCTTGTTGTCTACGTACAGCACTGGAGGAGAACGAGGCGGCTCTCCGAGGTCAGTCAGCAGGTAGGTGAGCCAGCGAAGCTCCTGAGCAGCCATGGCTCCTGCGTAGATCTCAGCCTCACAACTGGAGCCGAGAACGGAAGACGAGCGAGTAGCCCGCCACGAAACAGAGCGGGAACCAAGGCTGAAGGTGTAACCCTATGACGACTGCTCTGTAGCCTGGTCGTCAGCCCAAGAAGCGTCTGCGTGCCCAGTAAGGACCACTGGACTCTGCCCTCCAAGCACTAGCCCCATGCCCGACGTACTGCACAAGTAGCGCAACACCCTCTTCGCTGCAGCCATGTGCTCCGGTCTGTGTCTCCCAGGAGCAACATAGC